GGCTCGCGTCGTTATTGTTTCGCGGAATCGTTTGCGACTCCGTCCGCTCACGTATTTCGAGCGCGCCTCGTAACAACTCATATTTATAAACCAGAGCGGCCCAATCTACAGATAAATCGTGACGTTCCCGCGGCTAAAACCTAATAATATTATTAGTGATTATTACAGAGTGCCTCTTTCAATTCGTTTGCGAAACCACCCACCTTCCCAACTGATAGTCATTAAAAACAAGGTGGTTTAGTTTAATTTAAGTTACCGACCATACGCCAGAGTTCAGAGCTCACCGCACGAGAAAAAGAAATTATTAAAACAACCAGCATATATTTTCTATTGTTTGCTTTTGATCTCGGAGGAGACGGAAACACATCTGATCAACGACAGAGTCCTCATAGATCCGAGGAGTTCGATTCTGTCAGTTAAACCAAAGATTGCGATTTGTCCGGTGTTTCATGTGACATGCATCGCCGCAAAGATCTCCCTTTTTCCCGTGGGAACAACAAAAGAGCTCCGTTCGACTTCCGTTACACGCACACGCGCTGTCGCGCAACGAAATAATATCGATACCCGATAACACCGCGAGCCGCAACTCGCTGGTCTCGGTCGCGCGTTCGCGCGCGAACCGCAGGATTTAAATGTCTATTATACAATGCCATTGGTATTGGTCGCCGGTCGGCCGGCCATCGGCATTTCCGCGTGTGGAAGTGTCCTACCTCGTTTTTCCCTCCGGTCCCAGAGAGCAGGTTAATCGAAATTTATTTTCGTCCTATCGGTCCCATTTTCTCTCCGACGCGTCCGATCGGAGATGTTGCGTGCACGCGCGCGCATGCGCGCGTACTCGCGTGTGTATGTATATATGTGGATATATTATTATTTTCACCGGCAACGGCGCGCGAAAAAAATGATTTCCGCTTGCGCGGATATCGCTTTTATATATGTATATATACATAAAAGCAACTTATTTTGCGAGCGATCTTTGGCGATGCGGAACAACGGAAGCGACGCTTCCGATGAACCGCGAAGAATGGTACGCTAAAATAGAGCTTATTAACCAGTTCGATAACAAATTGCTTTTCCCGAAAAACAAAACATGTGACCCGCTTACGTTACTTATTCTATCTCGTCTGCAACTTCGGCATCTTGTGATAACTTTTTTAAATTTTTGATTTCTTTATTTACTAAATTCCCACGACCGATTTATGTTTCTTTTCACGATAAATTTCACGATAATATTATTTAATTAATATAATTGCATGAAAACTCACATTTCGACGTAAATAATCTTTAAAAATAGAAGAGGAATCTTTTAAGAATTTATTTAGATTAACATATCATGAGAAATAATCGAGCTTCTTAGAAGCCAAATTGATCAGCTCCATCATTGGACGATTGTGCTGTCTGTAAATATTTTTAATTTTAATATGAACATTTACCAGAATTGAGAAATTTATAAAACGCGATATTGATTATATCCGTTTGTTAAAAGTTGTTAATTGATATATGTACGTACAATCCAAAACGTACCATAAAATATTATAATGTATATATAATAATATTGATATAAAAATAATTATTAATTAAAACTGCCATCGTGTATAAAAAACTGCAAAACTACATGAAATGCCTCGCGTCCATGCTGGCAAATATTTAAAATTATTCGGCGTTTACACGAAACAGAAAATTATATCAATAAAAGAACGCGCGTCGAAGCGAGATTACATTATCGCATTTTTCTGCAAATTTAATAACTCGCAATTAGTTTTACACAAATATGCAGCCACTTCGAACGTCGAAGTTTACACCTACGCTATATGCGTCCGCGTTAACTATTAAATTAAATTCCACGTAAAAAACAACTCGCGCGATACAGTAATTGGTAAGGAAGAGAGTCATATCGATCGATCTGCGTGCGTGTGTTCATGTTATACATAATTGAGACTGCGCGAAATAAATAAATCCTTCCCGACGTGCGAATTCGATAATACCATCGCGATAGCCTTTATACGTCACCTTAAAGTGATCGATAACCGGCTTGCGATGACTGACCGAGATTGATGATGAGGCGCATGTATTTGTTTGCTATAGCACACCGCACTACTGACATAATCATCGGGTAATTACAGTATAGAATAGTGGACGCTGTATCACCACGTGTATCTCTCGATGCATTCATTAACGGCCAATTGAAATTAATATACAATGACCACGAGAGATAGATTACTGTATATCATAAATCACTAATATTAACGACGTCGACCAGTAACATTATACATACATGCCGAAGTGTTAAATGCATGAAGGTGATTTCGTCTAAAAGGCACATGATCCGTCCATCTATCCTATCAAATTTCGTAACAGCAAGATTGAATTATTCGTGTCGATGCGCGATGCCAATACGAGAAGCGCGTCATCAAAATTTGGGAGCGATATTTAGCATTAATGAATAGCCCGCGTGTGGCGAACGAAATTTTGCCGATGAATTTAATTATTCCCAATACGAATGTGTACTCTTACATCCGTTAGTTGGTACGTCCAACGCACGGAAAGAGTTTTCCGTATCTCACCGAGGTCGGGATTGAAGATTTACTTGAAACTCGAGCGAAATACTTTAAAAGCGTTATGTCAAGCGTTGATCGCAAAACTATATATAAGATTATCAAGTCAAATATATTCATTCCTCAAATCAATGTAGATAAAAGAGAAATGCAAAATTAACGTATCATCAATTTTGAAGTTTGAATATTACCAAGATGACTATTGAGATTTGATATGAAAATTGAGATAATAATTCATTTCATAATTTAATCAATACGTTGAGATTTGTTTGGTGTGTTTTATTAAAATTTCCCGTGCATGTGTGTGTGTGTGTGTGTGTGTGTATACCGTATCTCGTATCTTGGATATTGCGTCCAACCATATATACCTATAACATATATATATGCGATATTTCTCCTTGCGGTAAGGGGACGGAAGTTTTTCGTGTTATATCGAAAGCACGACAAGAGACAAGATTTCGAGATTAGGCAAGGCACAGGACGAGGAAAATCATATATCTCTTCGAGTCAGATCGTGCTCGGAATTGAGAAATTTTTTTTTCCAGATCTGACTTCGTTGATCGATAAGAAATACGAGCACCACGGCAACAAGCAGTTTTCCTTTCAACTATGGGGCCTCCCCCCCAGCGCGTCTTCATAATTTACAGGAGCGCGAAATGTTAGGATTTTTATTAAAAAAAAAATCGCGCCTCTCGTCTCGTCTTACGCTGATATCCCATTTCATTTATTTAATAACAAGTTCCGTTCAATTGGCTTTACACTCGCCATTTGCTGTCAAACGCGCCGAGACTTGATTTTTGCCGTTTCCGAACTAACCGAGATCGCACAGCGTCGTAAATCGCGGCTGCCCTTCGGCGGAAGGAAACTACGTGATGGAACACGCCGTTAATTGGAGTACGCGCTCGCGCACAGTGCGCATGTCGCGCAAATTATTTTATCATACATTATACATTATACGGAGCGATGGAATCGCGATCGACGCGGAATCGCGCTCGACACACTCGGTAATCGCGTAGGGATTACCGCGATACACGGCTTCTGTGTATATTTGTGTGTGTGTGTGTGTGTGTGTGTGTGTGTGTGTGTGGGTGGCGCATGTACAATGAATAATTAATATATTCAAATGAAACGCGTACTTAAACTATACAGAGCGCTCACCCGCCGTTTGCGCTGCTTATACCGTCATTGTCTCGCCAACCCTGATACGTAATTCACATTCACGTGAATGAACAAACGTACCTCTATCTGCCTACCTGTCTGCCTGCCTTCCCATCTACCTACCTACCTACCTACCTACCTAGCGCTCCAACACGTGCGTTACCATTGATCCGCGTAAACACAGCACTTTTCGCGACCGAATCTCGACCGCGAAGGGAACAGACGCGGAGGGAGGTAATCTTTTCTGTGAGTCAAATGCGACAAGCCAGACGATGGTAATACGAGGCCTTATTTTTTTTCTCGCGCGAGACTTTCGCCCCGAGTACGTCGTTTCCTACCAGAAGAGAAACGAACGATCGCACCGCGAGATAGCCGGGAATGGAGTAAGACGATACGCGATATAGCGGTGTTTCTCCTTCAAAATTTCTAACAGTGTGCAAATCTTTTTTACAGTTATAATTATAGTATTTTTTTCCTTACGCGTAAATTTCCAAATATAAAAAAATTCTTAGAAAGAGAAAAAGAGAGAGAGAGAGAGAGAGAGAGAGTGAGTGAGAAGAAGTAGAATCAGGACAATTGTCATGAAATAAAAGTGGATGCGCACGCTCTCAAACTGCTTGAAAAATTCTCGTCAGAGTCAAAGAGAATCGAAACGTTCCACTCGCTTGGGCAGATAATTGAGTAGGGATCATGCACCAACGGTTGCGTTTCGATTCGCGTAATTTTTTTCTATAAATCTCTTTCTTTGTAAATTAATTTTAATCAACGAACTCTATACGCTGACAAGGCGAATATTCTCCATCAATCTTGTCGAGAATTAGATATGCGATAAAAAATTCAAACATAAGAGACACATTTTTTCATAAGCATTTTATCGCGTTTAGGGGTTGAAACAACCCCTCGGGGGTTTTCCCATATATTTAATAAGAAGAGAATATCTTTGAAAGTAAAATAATTTATGGAGATATTTCGACACATGGGAGACCTCGACATTTTTATAATCTAAGAAATGAGTCGTATACTTTGACTGTACGATATTAGGAATTAACGCACACGTAATTAACTGCAAAAAGTTGTTTTAGCCCCGAAGCCTGAGATGTTTCTTTACTTTACGATGTGCTCAAAATGGTCGAAATCGGTGAGAGAAACTGTTGTATTTTTCCATTTAAAACTCTTTCTCGTTATTCACCGTTCGATCTGTGCGTTTCTACTGCGACCTCCCGACTAGCCGACTCGCAGAAGTAAAACACACAGCTGTTGTATTTCTCCTCTTTGTTTTTCTTTTTCCAGATCGTTGTAACAGCTTCACCCGATCCGGATGCAGTTCCATAGCGTGGAACGTCGTCGCTACAGATGCAGTCGCTACAGAGACGAACGCAAAACGCGCACGGACGCGCCGGATCGCTCGCTTGGATTGCGCTGACTCGATTCGCGGCGAATGTCCGACGACGACAGCGCCGTCTGAAATCGTGATCTGATCTCGTTCTGAGTGCTAGCGAGAGATCGGACAATTTTCGCGGCCTCGTGAGGTTTGGCAGTGCGTGATACGCGTTTCTTGCGCGAGAATCCGCATGCACGCGCAGAAAATCGAGAACTCTCCGATTGCGACAGATTCCGTCGAGAGAAAAAATCGAGATAACGAGTAACAGAAGTCGGACGAGAAATTGTCGATGACTCGGGGCGGACGAGCGATCCTCATCGGCAGGAAGATCTACCAAAGTGTGGGCCACTATGATAGTGTACAGTTTAATTTATTAACTGATAAGTCGTGATAAGTCATGAGGGAGACTCTCGACGAGGACTCGGACGCGTCCCTCGCTCGTCGCTGCCCGATGGCGAGGAGAAATCCGCGCGTCGACGAGGCGAGGCGAGGCGGGACGAGACGAGACGAAATGAGAGGAGATGAGAAGAGGCGAATCCCGCTGACGGCGAAGTGAACGACGGCGATGCGAAACGGAGTACGCTTCTTCGAGATGACTTTGTCCGCGATACACGTCGTGCTTACGAACGTCGCAATCCGAAGTAACGGGCCTGTTGTCCGAGCGAATCTTCATGCTCGTAACAGTCACGATGTAATATATTTATCCTCCAACGTGTAACCGTAACGGATTCCTATTTCGTTCGCGTATCTTGTTCCAGCGATATGGAGCATGCGATCGAAACGCTCGTCTCTACATTTTAGACTCTAATGACATTAACCTCTTCAGGAACTTGTTCGTTAAAATCAGAAGAGAATTACTGAATTTGAAAGTGACATCTAACACAAACGTAGGACGAGATTTCTTTTTTTCTTGTTGAGGAATTTTACGGTGAGTATTTATTCGCAGTGATGTTCGATATATCTTTGTCGACAGTGTTTCAAGTAAAAAAATTAAAATTGCACGTACATATATGTGACGGTACATTCCTGAAAAGATTAAATATCATTTTTATTTACGCGTAAACTGCCTTTTATTTTTATCGCGTACTATTGATTGTACCGCGTACTAAAATCTTTCGGTTCGCCATATTTCTTAAACTAACTTTTTCATATTTCTTTCCCAATTTCTTTCCCCGATAGAAATTCTTTTGCAAAATTTGCCGTCTGTCGATACGTTTTTGGACTTGAACTTATCGCGATTCATCGAAGGTGCTGCGTACACTTAGTTTAGACTACGAGGTACGTTCTTCCTCCAAAGATCTATTTGCTAGGATTTTTCCGCTATAAATAGACATCGCTAGTTTTTATTATACACGTTATTTCGATAAAAAGAAGAAGCTCCGATGAGTCGAACGGTGCCGGGTATCGGCAAATAACGCGACAGGTAACTCGGCACGCATCGCTATCGCAGAGAAAGAGAGAGAGAGAGAGAGAGAGAGAGAGAGAGAGAGAGAGAGAGAGAGAGAAGCTTTGCACTTCACAGAGTAAAGTATAACGTAGCAAACAATTAACGGCGAGCAACAAACTATTCCGCTGATCAAATCGAGTCATTCTATCCGCTTCGATCAGAACGATCAGATTTCCAGCGTTTCCATCGGCTCGCTCTTTCATCCTCGAAAATAAAACAAGGAGAAAGCTCGCGACATACACGCGATACATCGCGACAAACACGAACATTTTTCTAGGGTATACTGTAAATGGTGAATATAATACTTTTTACATGAAATGTATACGCTAGACATTGCACGGTTTCGCAATTTTAACTTGGACGAATCAGAGAACTTCACTCCCATCATTGTTATCCACGTTCCTACGTTGACACTTGATGCTTCCTCTGTCCTTCCTTCACTTTGCTTGCTTCTCTCGCGATTTTATAATTGCAGAATCTTTAATCTGGCCTCAGAGTCCGAGACGAAAAATCGGCGTAACGTCGCTTCGTGCTTCGAGAAAACGTGCGGGAAGAAGAGCCGAATAATTCGCCTGCGCTCGATTTTCCTCAGACACGCGCGCTTGACTTCTTAAAGAATCTTTCCGTGTCATGGCCCACGAGCATCAAATACGAACACAAAGACTATCGGCTGATACCGCGCGGCTGGTTATTACGCGTTGGTCAATAATTCAGGGGGACCTCTGAGCGCAAACCGCGAAAACGAGGTCTCGTTCGACGAAAAGACATTTTTCTCTCGGTCATCCGTTCTTTTATTCTTCTTCTTCTTCCTCCTCCTCCTCCTCCTCCTTCTTCTCCGTTTTTTCTCCTCGTCTCTTACTCTTTACTCGGCCTCGCGATTTCATTCCGCGAAACTCCCCGGCCCAGGAGTGCTTCTACACACGAGATACACCGCTGTGAATTATTTGTGCGCCACTCGGCTACGCCGCACCGGTGCCGTCGGTGCGAAGCGAAAGAGGGAAAGGCGGAAAAGAGCTCGGAGGAGGACGGAGAGAGGTGAACGAGTTACATGCGAAGAAACGCAAGCGAGACTAACGAACACGCGCGCGCACGACCGTATATGCCGGCTAAATAAACTTGTAAAACAACCTCGTTATAACTTCCAGGCAATAGGTAGAGCCCGAAGAACGACTCCAAAGGGATGTCCGAACTGATGCGGCTGCATACGGTGTCCCAGAAGTACGCAAAGTTTGCGGTATACGACGCTCGCGATCGATAGATGAGGCCGAAATAGAGAGATTATAGCGGGAAAAATGATCGCTCGTTTCATAATTACTTTATTACGTATCCTGTATATAATCATCTTATAATCGATTCCATTTATTCCCATCTGAATTTTATTATATTTATTTCGTTACGTTCTATTTCATTTATTTTGTTATATTTATTTTACATTCATTTTATTTTGAAATAATAAAATAATTAAATATGTATCTATGTGTGTATTTACATATCGATGTATGTTTTTATATTCATAATTTTTTATTCATTCGTTTCAATTTTTCAGCTTCAAGACGCTTCGTTTGCTCGCGAAATAAATAAATATAATGCATTATGATCAATATGACCTGCTGGCTGATCCTCTGATTTGATTTAACGGACATTATCTCGAGTGATTATATTAATATGTCTCGCCATTTTCCACGTACACGTTGTTTGAAAAGGACGGAATAATTATTGATAAAGCGCTAATAAAATTCGTAGTGAGTGTCGAGCGGTGATTCGACGTTCCAAATAAAAAGCCCCCAAAACCGATGGTATATTATCGCTGTACTGGGTCGCGATACGTGTCCGTTATTCTGACGATTAAACGCGACGACACGTCCCGTCCGTTTCACTCGTCCGCTGTGATTGGTCTTTGTTTCCGCACCTGACAATAAACCGGCTAACGTAACCTAATTATCACGGCGATATATACGGTGAATTTAAAAAAAGGAACGCGTGCCTCGCGCGTTAATGAAAACATCGCGTGCGCGAGATAATCTCGTGAAACACGTTAAACGTTAGCTCGATGGGTACTCGCCACTTTCATAAGCTCCGACGCATACTACAATTCGATTGTAACAGGTAATCCGTGCATTTAAACTTTTGCATTCAGCGCGTATCTGCATTTAACGTTCCAACCGAGCTCACTCCGAAGAGAGAGAGAGAGAGAGAGAGAGAGAGTATCGTTACGAGCGAATTTCAAGATTGAAATTACTTTCTTTTTTATCTCCGTGTAATCTTCTAATTTAATTCAGTTCAACTTAAGAGTGACTTTAAGTTCTCCTTTAAGTTCTCGCCGGGTAAATTATAACAACTAGTAACGCACACATATATAGGCGGGAGTTTTTCATGGAAAGATGAATCTTTTGTCGGTGTATGTATATATGAATGCATTCCTCCGGAATAGCCGGAACGTATATTACGTAACGCAATTTCAACCCGCATAATGCGTCATTACGCTTCATCGCTTTCGCGATATCCCCGGTATTCCGCGGGAAAGAGGAATACACTCATACGCGCGATGCGTTCGGGACACCGTATATACGATATAAAAGAGAATAAGTCCAATTTGGATACAGCCGAGGAGGATGCTTCTCCTCGTCAAGGAACTACTCGTTCTCTCTTCTTCTTCTTCTAATTCCCGTTAGTTATCTACCGCTCTGACGCATCTCTCTCCTATTCAAAACAGACTATCCAATATTCGCGGTACGTATTGACGTAAGTGCCGACAAGGATTCACCGCTTGTTTGCTTAAAAGCCACCGAACGCTCGACCCAGTTAACGGAAAGTCGTGCAATTTTCCGCACAAATAGCTTTTACTGCAGCCTGCCGCCGTCGCGGAATATTTAATTGCATCCAGAATGCACTCTTCGGCCGCGTAAAATGTTCCACGTCATTTAATGAGAACGACGATGTACCCGAAAGCGATAGAAATACAAGCGAATATCCGATCCGCATTATATTAGTGATAATGACGCGCCACAACAGAATTTGCAAGAATAATTACCTCAAATCTTTATCTCGTTATCAAGATTACGAAAGCGTAGATTCTGTTATTTCGCGAATTGCTCGCATCTCAACCGAACGAATAAGAATCAAGCTTGTGGATTCTCCCTGCATGAAGAAAAACATCAGAAATATCCGATTGTTAATTTTCTTATCCGATCAAATATCCGATTAAATACACCGATTTAATACAGATATTTGATCGGATAACGAAATTAACAATCGGACATTTCGGATATTTTTCTCAGTGTAGACATTTAACGTGGACAAAGCATGGGAAATTTGTGCGATGCAATTGTCATATCTTTGTACCAACGACGCCAATATAATTGGCTTTCATAATCGAAATTCATTTCATTTAAATTAAATTAAATTAAATCATTTAAATTAAATTAAATTAAATATGACAGACTGTGTTCAAGATTTGATGACGCAACGCTTTAGAATATTCATAAGCGTCACAGTTCAAGGTGCCGAGGTGTTCCGCGATTACCATCATACAGATCGACTCGCACCTCAACTCAAGGGCGACCGCTATTTTCCATAAATCCCGATGCGATAAACCCCGCGTGACTAATTGAATGAAATATTCGACGAGCGCATCGAATCGGCTCGCGGCACGCTGCTCCGTCTCGAGAAGTTGACTGCACTTGTCGGATGCCGGCGTGCGTGCGTGAATGGCAGAACGTAGCGTAAACCGCTTGAATGAAAGGCGGCGGCCTTGCCCCCACCACCGCGCCGCCACGTGACTGGCCGCCGACCACGCGGTCGCTTCAGCACGTGCTCGTGTAGTAAATGCAACAACACTACGCGGTAGCGCTCGCTAGCACGGAACGCGCCGAATGTTTCAACCGCTATTACTCGCGAACGAATTGACGTGGACTCGTGAAGCTAAACGCATTCTTCTCAGCGCGCGATTCCGCACGCGCTTCCTATTATCTACTTCCTATTGTCTATCCGTATCGACTGTTGCCGATTGTAAGAGCAGATCGCGGATCAATGTCGCGGCGGATTTGAACGGGAAATTTTCCGTGGAATACATCTTCCCTCTTTGGCTTCTAACAAAACCAGTTGGAGCCTTCTTTTCGTCCCTTTTGCTTCAATAATAACGAGTGACGATAATGAATACTGTTATTGTAAATCGTACCAAATATATAGTGTGTAAAAAACGATACTCGCGCGATTCAATGAACATTTCAAATCATGTTATCGTCATTTTATCGCGTTGCGTCATTAGTGTCGTCGGAGATATTCCGTGTATTTAAAAAACTGTATGTTTAAATCGGATATTTACATTATTATTTAAATGTGACTGCAAGATGAAATTCTGCTTCGTATTTCGTGCGTTATTTTAGATGGAGTGAAAGTCCTTTTTTTCAGCGACCATTATCAGCGGGAGTAGCGTTAATCGCATCACCAATGAAAGACGCAAAAGAGCAATAGAATCCTTGTGACTAGCCTTCGAATTGCACGGCGAAGATTATGCCGGTATCATCACGATAATCGATCGACGACCGTCTATAATCAAGACTGCAGTTTCTACAGGCGCTCGCGTAAAATAGAGAGAGAGAGAGAGAGAGAGAGAGAGAGAGAGAGAGAGAGAGAGAGAGAGAGAGAGAGAGAGAGAGCGGAAACCGAAAAGCGAATAATAATAATAATAATAATAATAATAATAATAACAATAACAATAATAATAATAATAGGACGTTACCCAGATTGGACCATTCCACTTATATGGTACATATATTATATACTACGCTACCAAAATTACATCGGATTACCAAGAAAATTGTGATGTGTGGAAACGTATCAAACGAATCGGCGTACTACGTTATACATATAAAAAAGGTTTTATCTATATTCGGAATATATTATATATACATACGAGTACACATACACTTATGTATATTATATATATTATATATAGACTCGATCAATCACGATAAGATATATTTTTATATGTAAATATGGTGTTCCCCTTCTTGTTATCGTATTAATACATAATCTTGCTGAGACAGTAGATAGAGATACAAAAGTCGTTCGCGCGAAAATTCGCGAAGCGATGAAAATGCGACTATACGCGAAGTCGTAGCGAGATTCATACGCGAGGAAAGGTACGAGCAGCGTGCGAGGAAAGGAGAAATCCTCTATTCTGCGAGGATCCTCTATGACTATTAGGCACGATCGGTATTTCCGCTCATTCATTATCATCTCAGCTCGCTCGTCGATAGGTTTAATTAGACTTGTCTAAACAGTCTAAACCGAGAATAAGTCTTGTAACAACGTTTCAAATATAATTCTCAACTCTAAGATTACCGCAGGAAGGAAGAAAGGTAGCAAGAGGGAGAGGAGAGGAAAGAGAGAGAGAGAGAGAGAGAGAGAAACTTCCGTCGGACTTATTACTGCCACCAATATCGTATTGTCGACGGAACGTTGAAATCTCGCGGGCGAAATTGCAATTAGCAGCCACTCTTTCGTTCAACTTCATAAGGCGAACGATAACACGAGAGAAGACATCAAGTTTTATGAAAAATCCTTCGGCATACGACTCGTGGGAAGAGACGGGAATCGCATTAATGAGATATCGAAACTCAATATCTTCGTTCAGTTCCCCCTTGAAGAGAATAATATTTGGTTTTACATCACGATGTATGTAAAAGTCATGTGCTTATACATATATATGGAAAGTGAATTTTCGAAATTTCTGGCCGTACCATCGGAATCCCACACAATCGATGTCACAAGGACAAAACTCGCGCGAGCGCGCTGCGCGGTAGAAAATGAGCTCGTTAATTAATCATAGTCCGGTAACTAGCTCGGAGTAACGTCGATCTTATTAGGATTTCCTAAGATCTAATTACTCGATAGCATTACCTTAGGTCACCGTGGTAAGGATTAATCGTTTCGCAACGTGAAATCCCGACGCGAAGCGGCCGATCCTCTCTTATCACCGGTATCACCACGTACCCTACATCATCCTTATCAACCGCCGTTCCGCACTGCCATGTTATCAGCCGAACGTACCAATCGTGTCTAACGCCGTCGTGTCGCGGCCGGTTACCACCGTGTGTATGTACATAGAATGAATTTCGCGTGTGGGGACACACGACCTGCGCCTCGTACCACGACGGAAGGGTCAAGGGACAAATGAAATTTGCCGCGGACGCTACCGCAAGAGATATCAGAGGGGAGGAAGGGGGGAGGATACGTTATCGGACATCGCCGAGATATTCGCGATCGGACGTACGATGGATGTTAAAGCACGCGACGGCGAGATCTCGCCGTGCACCTATTCCGCGAGAAATTCCGCGACCGATCAAACTGAGAAATATCTCC